GAGCCGCATGTGGCTCGCGAGCTGCAGTTTGCCGACCATGGTCCTAGATCATAAAGATAATTGCTTCTTGGTTCAGTACACTTGCTTACTGTGTTCCCCTTTAATGACCCACATGGGCCAAAGGGTAGAACATAACAGATCTCTGAAAGCTTATTAAAATGACCTTGTTCCTCTTGCATCTGACTCATTGAAATGAAAGGTCTGGAAACTAGTAGGAGATGACTGGGGTGGGGGTGAATTTAATACTGACTAGAATGAACCCTAATGATTTTAGGTCAGCAGAGGGTGAGCAACAACACCGAAATTGAAGAAGAAACACCTTAAACCCCAGGAGGTACAGGAAAGGGAGGGGCATTAATAAGCTGTCTTTCTGAACTACCGGTGGAGCCTTCATCACAAAGGAAAATGCCTTAGTACATCTTCCCCAAACTGCTGCAAGGGCGTAAAATTTACCTGTCAGGTCTGCCAATACCTGCATCCACAAGGTCATCACCATTCCCCTTAAGCTTGCTGAGAAGTCTATCAGAAACAGCTGGGAGAGCCCCAGCTCCTGCACCACACACAAAACACCCGTCAACACCTTCAACTGTCTGCTCTCCTTGAACCACTTGCCCTAGCAGCTGCTCAGTCATTATGTGGGGCAGAAGAATATCATGCAGCTAGTAGCTTGGACATATAGGACAGGTTGGAATGAAGGCCTTCAGGCAGTCTCTCCAATAACAAGAACTAGACTCAAGTTTTCAAACAGAACTGAGGACCCTTAATGTTGAACATAACCTGAGCCCAAGTTAAGAAATCCCCCCACTCTTTTATGCTCTTAGAACCGACTTACCACAAATATCACCTTTCCCCTTATGACTCAGATAACATTTGCTGTCCACTCTTTCTCATAACCCCCATAAGACTCCTGGGGTTTACGTATGACAAGGCCAAACGCAGACCTTTCTCCTTTTATTGAACTTGCTGAAAGGCTAGACACAGACCCTCCAACTCCCCACTTTCTCATGAATGATTGAGATTAGAAGTTAAACTAGCTAGCTAGACACAGAGATAAGCATTTCTTTTCTAGCTGACGGAGACTTCTCCTGAATGCAGAAACAATCCCACCTATAAATCTCCCCAAGATAACTTGTCTAATCCTCAGTATGAAAATAAAAGTCAAAACCACCCTGCTGAGACACTCCGACTTTCACATCTGAGGTGCTCTCCCTATTGCAATAGCCTAAATAAAATCAATTTCCTTTTTTTTGTTCAGTTTTGTCTTTAATAGTTAGAGACTATCAGCTGGATGAGAGGCCACATTGGAGGCACTCTCAAGCTATGTCTCCTGACTGCTGGAGGTCCCACCAATTGTAAACAGCACTTTCTTCTGGGGGGCGTCCTGGGATTATACTTCATATGCAGAAGCCAGGCATTAACTTGCCTTCCTCCCCACAACATGGTGATTTTCACCTTAAGGGTGGTCATAAGTGAACTGAACGTGTGTGAGGTGGTGATTGGTGGTTCAGGTAAACCATAAATGACTCTGGGGGTCTCTCTAAAAGGAGGCTACCTACTTGGTTGCTAGCAGGAGCTTCCTAGAAGAGTAAATGGCTTGCTATTCATGTGAACCCTGAGGGCAATTATTCCTATGATAGGAATCATCCAATTAGAAAAGGTGGTAGGACATTTGTCCCTGATTGTATCTGAGGTGATCAACATAATATCTTGGCTCTGGAAGGTATTCTGGGGTCAGGCTCAGCTTACTGTCCAAACAGAGGATGAAAATGCCCCCTTGGGCCAAGGCAGAATCTGTGCAATCGCTAATACATCCTGCTGTACCTCGATTCCCACACCAAGGACAAAGGTCAATAGAGAAACTTAAGCAGAAAGGCACCTGGCTTTGTAAGGTAAACATTGATGGCTTTAAAGGATTTGTTCAACTCATTGAGTCTGGAACCCCGGATGTCACAGTTGAGCAAAGTACTGCAGACTGGCCTCATTCTGCCACTTGGAGTCCTGTTGATTAAGTGTTGCATAAGATAAATTGAACAGCCTGGGCTCTCATCTCTGCCAGTCAGATTAATCAGAGTAGCTGACAGACTAGTATACTCATGGGAAATTGTGCAGAAGGCAAGACAGTGCAGAAATGAAGGGTGGATATTATTGGGAGACAATTCTCAACAGGTCTCTTGTGTTACAGTGAGCATTTCTACATGTCCTGGTACATCAACCAAGGATTTCTGCTCATATTTCCCTAAGAGAATTGTTTCCTCTTATGATCTACATATGCTCTGATGAAGAAGGCTAAGATGTTTTCCAAAGAGATTATGTCAATTTACACTCCCACCAGCAGCATATGAGCTGCTGGTATGTGCTGATATGAGCCTATAAGCTGCTGATATGGCTCCTCATCCTTGCTACCACTTGTCATCATCAGTCTTCTTAATTTTAGCCATTCTGGTGTGAGTGTAGTAGCAGTACATTGTGGCTTAAATTTTGCACTTCCTGATGACTAATGAGACTGGGCACCCTCTCAGGTGTTTGTTAGCCATTTGGATATCTTTTTTTGTTACATGTCTATTCAAATAAGGCATGTGACTACTGTGTAGTCTGCTTTTTCTTACTGTTTTGTTGTTCTTGATATATTCTGGCTAGAAGTCCTCCATTGTCTATCTCTTCTACTCTGTGGCTTGTACAGTGTGTGTGTGTGGGGCGGGTAAGGGCAGAGGGTGGGGTGGGAACTGAGTGGAGGGAAGCTATGGGGGGAAAAAAGAGGAACAACTGTAATAATCTGAACAATAAAGATTTAATTTTAAAAAAATCAAGATAGTAACTATCTTTGGGAGTAGAGGGACTCTGAAATTATATGGCCACTTACTAGACTGACAATGAAAAATCAGTGAGCTGTAAATTTTTTTGGTATACTTTTCTGTATGTATATTTCACAATAAAAATATTTTTAAAAATATAGGCTTAATCTATAACCCATCAACTCCACCCCTATATATATAGTAAACAGATGGGTATACACATGTACATGAAAAGAAACAAACAAAATTTTTTGTTCATGGTATCATTGTTTATAATTCATATTACGTTTCACCAAAATATTTAACAATAACAAAAGCTGATAAAAATTTGTTTAGTAGGCCTCCTTTTGTGAAATAAAAGGAGAAAGTAAGAATGTGTTCTCAGCTGCTTTTATTTGCATAAAGGAACCCTAATCATGCAGTAAACGAACCTAGTTATATGTATTAGACACAGGTGAGCAGATAAGAGAAAGATAAATGAGAATTTAGACTAGTAGATTTTTTTATATCCTCACCCAAGGATATGTTTTTATTGATTTGAGGGAGAGAGAGAAACATCAATGTAAGAGAAAATAATCAATTGGTTGCTTCTCACACTCACCCCGACCTAGATCCAATCCACAACTTGGATACGTGTCTTGACTGGGAAATGAACCCACAACCTTTGGGTGTATGTGATGATGCTCCAACTAACTGAGCCACCCGGCCCAAGTTTAGGCTATGTAGATTTTTATATTTTTGAATTTTATATATTTTCATTTTTGAGCTATGTGTCTATATTGTCATTCAAAATTAAATTAAAAACTATTACTAATATTTTTAGTGATGAGATGCTGCATCCATGAAACAAAAATAGCATGCTATTAATAGGGAATGCTCTGAAAATAAAGAGCTATTTAAAATAAAAATATGTAACAGCATTGAGAGACACAAAAGAAGATTTAGAAGATAAAGTGTTCCAAAAAACTCTTAGAAAGGAGAACAAAAGAGAAAGAAATGGAAAGCAGAACAAAGACTAAAAAAAGTAGGAGGCTCAACAACTGAATAAGAAGAGTTTTTTGAAAAGTAGAGAAAATGACTAGACTGGAAATAGGCTTTTAAAATTCTGCACAAAAATGATTTCCAACCTAGAATTCTATATCTAGCTGAAAAGATAAATTTAGTATCAGAGTCAAATAAATATATTTCCACCCTGGCTGGCATGGCTCAGTTAGTTGAGTGTTGTCCCATGCACCAAAAGGTTGCTGGTTCAATTCTCTGTCAAGGCACATAACCAGTTTGCAGGTTCAGTCCCCAGTTGGGTGCATGTAGGAGGCAGCTGATCAATGTGTTTTTTTCTCTCTCTCTCTCTCCCTTTCTCTCCTTCTAAAATCAATAAAAACATTTTAATTAATTAATTAATAGATGAATACATTTCCAAGGCACTTATTACTTTTTTATTTCTATAAATGTATTTCTGCAATTATATATATTAAATAAATATAATTTTGCATGACATTTTCAGACATACAACGTTTCATAAAATCCACCTGTCATGTATCCATTTTTAAGGATAGACTGGAGGATGTGCTCCCACAAAATGAGGGTGTAGACCAAGAAAGAGGAAGACAGAGGATCCAATAAACAAGAAAGAAGACATAGAATCCCCAGGAAAGGGGATGTGCAACAAGACAGAGGTGAAAAGGATTTCCTGGGGGATAACACAGGGAAGACACCAAGATAATAGCTGTGTGTAAAGTTGAGGGAGAAACCAGACCAGCAGCCTTCAGCAGGTCAACAAGTTCCAGGAAAGAATTCTCCACAGAGAAGACATTGCTGCCCTGAGCTGAGACCATTCCCACCTACTAGTAGCTGTGTGAAATTGAGCCAGATAGTTTTTCTCTATGCCCAAGTTTCCCTCTATAAAATGGGAGTAACAATGACACACACTTCTTGAGGTTGTTATGAAGATGAGTTAGTATATGTAGTATGTGTATAACAGTGCTGGGCACATAGTAATCATTATATGAGTGTTTACAATTATTGTCACTATGATTATTACCTATATGTTTGAATATACAGAGAGGAGATTTAAACAATTAGAAAGAATTTGAAGTTGAATTATTGATTTGTATATAGTAAAGCAAAGTAATGACTAAACCAGAAAACTGTTAATTCCAAGAAAAAGAAAAAGTTGTATAGAAATAGGCACCTCTTTGTCTTCCTTACCTCACAGGAGCTGTCTCTTCCTCCTGCAGTCAGGGCCAGGGACCACTGGGGAGAGCTCTGGTTGGCTGGCATGTTTACTTGGGCCTCAGCCCTCTGGCTCTCTTGCTGACAACTCCGCTCTTCCCAGGAGCCTAGGGCCAGGCAGGGTCTGTGGACTCAACCAGAGCTTCTGGGACCAGAAGGAAGATCTTGCAGCCTTCACTGTGGGGTCTGGTCCAGGAGCTCCAAGGAGACCCCAAGAAACCTGGAAAGACAGTGTCCACATGGCTAGTCAAACCAGCATTCATGCCACAAACGTTACTTGGGGGCACCAGAGTATGGAACTGGATGCTGTGGGAGTAGAAAATGTCCAGTCAACACCTATTCTAGTTATTCACAAAAATGGAATATGAGCGAGACCACAGATTTAGACTAAAATTAATGAAGGCTTAAATTCTAGCTCAGCCAACTTTTAGCTATGAGAATATGAAAATGTTTCTTTAGGTGTTTTTTTCAAAATGAGTCAAAACTATTTATCTCAAGGGGTTGTGAGAGTTAAATAAGATGATGTTTGTAAGGCACTTAGCACCAGACCAGACCAGATGAGCCCAAGTAAACTTTTAATTCATATTAGCAAGCATTGTTATTACAAGGAATCATCTAATGTGCAGAAGCAGATACCTCATTTAATTTGCACAACAATCCTATCATCAATGTGTTGCTGCAATCATTATTTCATTTTATGCATAAAGAAACAGAAGTTTATAGATGTTAAGTAAAACCCAGTCTACCTGGTTTCAAAGTTCACATTCTCAATACTATACCATATGGTACCTGTTATATGGTAGGCTCAAAATAAATGTGGTTCTGTTTAATAGATGTTGAAAACATGACTTTGATTTGGAATAAAAATGTTAAGCAAAGTTTCTTAAAATAGAAGAGACAGATCAGAAGGAAAATACTAATAGGCTGAGACTAAAATTGTTTAATTGCCTCAAAAATATCCAAAGGTAAAACTGTTTCTCCTGTTGAGGGAGGAGATGGTTTCTCCATATCCAAGTTGAGGTGTAATTTTATGCTGGTCAACCAATAGAGGCACTACAGATTTAGTCATTATTTTTAGGAAAGAGAAGGGGCGATATCCACATAAAATGAAGAGAAATTAAGACAAGAAAAGTAAGAGATGAGATGAAGAGAAAACAAGAAAGTTAAATAAGAAGTAAATAAAATAAAAGGCATGAACAAGTTAAATTTTAAACACAAAAAGATGATGATGCACTAAAGAAAGAGAAAATATGCTTTCTTTTCTTATGCCCATGGTACTCTTATAAAATTCCATCCAATAACTTATCTACAAAGAAAATCTGGTAGATGTTTCAATGCTAAGAATTGACAGGCTACATTCTCTGATCATAGAATAAGGTGTTCAATGCCATTAGTCATTAGGAAATGTAAATCAAAACCAAAATTTTTAATTCATTTGGAGACCATTTCATATCCATTAGGATAGCAAAAATAACAACAACAACAAGAAACAATAACAAGTGTTGGTAAGGAATATGGAATACACTGGAGTGCGCATACATTGCTGGAAGAATTGTAAAATAATTCAGGCATTCTGAAAAACAGTTTGGCAAAATGTTACCCACAGAGCCACCATATGATCCAGCAGTTCCACTACTAGGTATCTACCCAAGACAAATGAAAACACATGTATACTCCAAAACTTGTACACAAATATCCACAGCAGTATTATTCATAACTAGAGGCCCGGTGCACAAAATTCATACACTCCGGGTGGTCCCTCAGCCCCGCCTGCACCCTCTCACAGTCTGAGGAGCGGGCCTAAGCCGGCAGTTGGACATCCTTAGCACTGCCGCAGGGCTTCTGGCTGAGCAGTGCTCCCCCATGGGAGCCAACTGACCACCAGGGGGCAGCTCCTGCATCAGTGCATGTCATAGCGACCAGTCATTCTGCGGTTGGGTCAATTTGCACATTAGCCTTTTATTATATAGGACTAGAGGCCCGGTGCACGAAATTCGTGCACTAGGGGTTGGGAATCCCTCAGCCTAGCCTGCCCCCTCTCACAGTTCAGGAGCCCTCACGGGATATCCTACTGACGGCTTAGGCCTGCTCCGCAGTCTGGCCACAGAGGCTCAGATCAAGCGCTGTGCGTGCACGTGTGTCTGTGTGTGTGTATCCGCTGGGGGTCTGCCCCCAACTGTGTCAGAGGCTCAGAGCAGGCGCCCTGTGTGTGTGTGTGTGTGTGTGTGTGTGTCCATGGGGGGCTTTTTTGGCGCGCCGTGTGTGTGTGTGTGTGTGTGTGTGTGTGTGTGTGTGTCTGCTGGGGGCCTGCCCCCAACTGCATCAGAGGCTCAGAGCAGGCGCCCTGTGTGTGTGTGTGTGTCCAATGGGGGGCTGCCCCCAACTGCGTCAAGGGCTCAGAGCAGGCGCCCTGTGTGTGTGTGTGTGTGTGTGTGTGTGTGTATGTGTGTATGTGTGTGTGTCCGTTGGGGGCCTGCCCCCAGCTGCGTTGGAGGCTCAGAGTAAGCACCCTGTGTGTGTGTGTGTATTTGTGTGTGTGTCCGCTGGGGGCCTGCCCCCAGCCACGCTGCAGAGGCTTGGAGCAGGCGCCCCTCTGTGTTGATCTCTCAGGCTCCGGGCTGTGCCCAGTCCCTCCTCCTGAGCAGTTTGTTCAACCTAAAACATTAGAAGTAGAAAAAACAAAATTAAGCAAACCACCCAAAAAAGTAGTACTCAATAAAAATGAAATTTTAAATCAAATAAATATAACAATAGGGAGTTTCAAAGAAACAAAGAGTTGGATCTTTGAGCTGGCCAATGTCATTGATATATATAGATAGATAGATAGATAGATAGATAGATAGATAGATAGATATATAATAGAACCCACCTAAATGTCCATCAACTGATGAATGGATTAACAAATGTGGTAGATCTATATAATAAAATAGTATTTGCCAATAAAAAGTACTGATATATGCTATAACATGAAAAAACCTTGAAATCATTATCTTACATGAAAGATGTCAGTCACAGAAGACCACATATTGCATGATTTCATTTATGTGAAATGTCTAAAATGGGCAAATACATAGAGACAGACATTGATTGGAGGTTTCCTAGGGCGGGAGTGTCTGCTATTGTGTACAAAGTTGAAAATGTTCTAAAATTAGATTGTGGTGATTGATGACTGGACAATTCTGTGAATGTACTTAATACCATTGAATCATATACTTTAATGGGTGAATTTTTATGGTATTGGAATGTATCTAAATAAATCTGTTTTGTATATCTAAATAAGTCTGTTTTTAAAAGAAAAGAAATACAATCCAGGACCACAGTAGAAAATCAATACAGAAGCTATACAATTTTTACCAGTTGTCATGTAACACACTAAAGTTATATATAAAGTGAAATTTATAGCTTTAAATGGCTTTATTTTTAATTAAAAATAAATATAACAAAAAGAGCTATTTGTTCAACCTAAAACATTAGAAGTAGAAAAAACAAAATTAAGCAAACCACCCAAAAAAGTAGTACTCAATAAAAATGAAATTTTAAATCAAATAAATATAACAATAGGGAGTTTCAAAGAAACAAAGAGTTGGATCTTTGAGCTGGCCAATGTCATTGATATATATAGATAGATAGATAGATAGATAGATAGATAGATAGATAGATATATAATAGAACCCACCTAAATGTCCATCAACTGATGAATGGATTAACAAATGTGGTAGATCTATATAATAAAATAGTATTTGCCAATAAAAAGTACTGATATATGCTATAACATGAAAAAACCTTGAAATCATTATCTTACATGAAAGATGTCAGTCACAGAAGACCACATATTGCATGATTTCATTTATGTGAAATGTCTAAAATGGGCAAATACATAGAGACAGACATTGATTGGAGGTTTCCTAGGGCGGGAGTGTCTGCTATTGTGTACAAAGTTGAAAATGTTCTAAAATATATTTTATTGATTTCAGAGAGGAAGGGAGAGGGAGACAGAGACAGAAACATCAATGATGAGAGAGAATCATTTTTTGGCTGCCTCCTTTACGGCCCCCATTGAAGATTGAGTCCACAACCCGGGCATGTGCCCTGACTGGGTAACAGACCGTGACCCTCCTGGTTCCTAGGTCAACACTCAACCACTGAGCCATGCCGGCCAGGCAACATACTTTAATATTGATGTGAAATAAGGGCTTTCCTAGCAAAATGTAAATTAACAAAGTTAATGGAGGAAGAAACACAAAAGAGAACAATGAATGTAGAAGAGACCAGAGCAAAAATGACATAGCACAACAAATACAAAGACTGAAAGGTAGAAAGGAAAGGGGGCCAGCCCACAGACCTCAGGGCCTGGGGAACAGTGCAGTGGTGAATTCCCTCTTTCATTTCCCCTCCCATATATCACAAACAAAGCATTGTAGAAGCCTATAACTAAAAACTATCAACAGGCACAGACAAAAAAGCTCTAAGAAAAATCTACTCCCCTTAATCAAAGTATCAAGAAAAGTGTGGCCTAACTGAACATACCCACCCTACTCCAGCCAAAAACTAATAGAATACACATTCTCTTCAAGTACCCATGCCACGTTCTCTAAGACATACCATATCCAGAGTCATAAAACAAATCTCAACAAATTGAAATCATAAAGCATAAGTTCTTTGATTATAATAGCGCTGAATCAATAACAAAAAAATAAAACGAAAGTCACCAAATACTTGGGAATTAATAATCCATTTCTATATAATCATGGATCACAGAGGAAGTCTCAAAGGAAATTAAAAAGTAACAATATAAATACAACCTGTTGAAAATTTGTGGAATGGAGATAAAGCAGTGTTGAAAGGGAAATTTATAAGTTTAAATGTTTATATTTTCAGAATTAAGGTCTTAAATCAATAATTTAAGCTCCCACCTCAAAAACTAGAAAAAGAGCAAAGTAAACCCAAAACAAGAGAAGGGAGGAAGTAATAAATATAAGAGCAGAAATCAATGAAACTGAAAACAGTAAAACAATAGAGAATATCAATGAAAACAAAAGCTGGTTCTTTGAAAACGATAAAATTGGTAGTCCTCTAGCAAGATTGACAAAGGTAAAAAGAAGACACAAATTACCAACAGCAGAAATGAAACAGGAGATATAACTACAGATCCTGCAGCTATTAAAAGGAAAGGGAATACCACACACAGCTTTATGCACATTTGTTCAACAACTAGGATGAAATAATCCAATTCCTCACAAAACACAAACTCCTACAACGCACCCACTATTAAATAGTTACTCTGAAAAGATATTAACTAGATCATCTGAATAGTCATATAACTACTACAGAAACTAAAGACATAATAAAAAAGCTTCCAAAAGGAAATTTCCAGACCCAGATGATTTCACTGGAGAATTCAACCAAATATTTAAAGAAAAATTAGCATAATTCTACACAATCTCTTCCAGAAAATAGAAGTGGACATTTTTCAAGTCATTTTATGATGCCAGTATTACCCTAATATTAAAACAGACAAAGACAATACAAAAAAAGGAAAACTGTAGATCAGTATTTCTCATGAACTTGATGCAAAAATCCTGGGGGGAAAAAAGCATTAGCCAGTCAATTCCTGCAATACATAAAAGGAATTATACCACCACAATTAAGTAAGCTTTATTCCAGGAATGTAAGGCTGGTTCAATATTCAAAAATCACCAGTGTATTCCCTCATATTAACAGGCTAAAGATAAAAAAATCACAAGATCATATAAATTCATACACAGTATGACAAAATTCAACACTTATTCATGATAAAAGTAGACAGAGACATAGATCAACGGAACAAAATAGAGAACCTAAAAATAGCCCCACACAACTACAGCCAATTTATTTTTGATAAAGATGCAAAACATATCAACAGAGGAAGAATGGTGTTTTCAATAAATGGTGCTTGAGTAATTGGACATTCAAACAAAAGAACCTCAATCTAAGCCTCTAACTTCATATGAAACTTAACTCAAATGGATCGTGGACAGTAGGAAGGAGAAATGGACAAATCAGCATCACAGTAGAAAATTTACCTCTCCTCTCCCAGAAGTACAAGAAGCAGACAAAAAGGTGTACAAATATTGTACAATGCAACTGACAACTAAATAATTAAATATTATTGTCAATTTATATATGGAACAATTATAAACATTCACCACGTACTAGGCCATGCATCCCCTCATATTTCAAGGAATGAGCTTCACATAGACATTTTTCGGACCACATTTTTCTCAGGTTAGAAACCTATTAAATAAACTTTTGGAAACTGAAAACGCATTTCTAAATAACTCATGGGCAGAAGAAAAAAATTTCAACTCTTAGAAAACACTTAGCACACAATGCACCAAACCTTGTGGGTTTTAGTGAACTTTAAGACCTTAACATTGACATGAGAAAAGAACAAATCCTGCAAAATAATGAGCGAATTATCCAACTACAGTTAGACAACCGAGTGCATCACTGACCACACAAAATTCCCCAGCACTCACCCTCCCCAGGGCCGCATCCCTAGGAAACGCCTCCGGCACAGAGCACTGAGATCCTCCTGACAACAACTGTTCAACGGTGGCTGAGAACCACAGCCTCTTCCGGTCACCACCCCTAGCATCGCCCCTTCTCGGGATTCGGGGCGTCTCAGGAAGGGGGCGTGTTTCTGCACATGCGCAGAACCACATTTGAAGCCGCCGGCAGCCAAGAGTTAAGGAGATGGTATGCAGTTGGCACCCCTTGGTAGCACTGGGGAATATGGCCGCGCCCAGGTAGCGCTTCCTCGTCGTGGGATACACCATGTTGAAGGAGTGTCCATTCCCTACTGAGGATGAGGAAGCCTCTAAGTCACAGAGCCCAGCGATGGAACTGCCTCACAGGTGGCGGGAAGCACGCTTTCCGAAGGAGGGGGTCTTTGGTCTATAGATTTGTGTAATAATGTTCAGAGAAACCGAGGGGCCTCTGGAAAGACGCAGAGGTGCCATGCTATCATCTCCTGACAGATAACACAGGATGGG